ATGCAATGCACATGATGACATGATATGAGATGCATGACAACGACAACAACACACAGAGACAAAAACCCGAACCCGAGGAAATAAAATAACTTAGCGCCGGAAACGGCAAGAGTTGGAGTATATATAAGGTAAATTACATCCGGGGTGTTACAATGCATGAGGTAGTAACCATGTCTCATATATGGAAAGTGACGGTTCGAAGAGGAGTGAGTTCATCTTGTGTCTAATGGCGTATGGCCGAGGTCACATCGTATGTCCTCTTGGGGCTTGGAGAGTAGTCGAAGTGTACATGGGGATGATCGTAGGATGCTCCGCATCACGATCATTTCCTTTGGCCTCCGATGGACGACCCATCGGCCACAGGTGTGGCGTTGAAGTCGATGGCCATGGTTGCGGGCGTGGCCGACGCGACCACAATCACCTCCGGCGAGCAGTTCGCGGGAGAGGTGGAGAAGCGGGAGGCTTGCGGTTGGGGATGGAAGCTGGGCATCTACGGTGTGGTGGACGTGTGCGGCGTCTCTGCCTGTGGCGGACAAACTGCTGACGAGCCAGTTTGCGTCCGCGTGTTGGCCGCAATTTGTGTCCGTTTCGACCCAAATAGACGCGCGTGGACAGTTTGCGTCGGCGCGTTGGAGTTGCTCTAATAGACTGGAGGGTTGGGAGACTGGCACTTTATCAATTGGAGGTAGAGTAACAAGGATAAAATTATGTCTATCCAGTATGCTTGTGTACTATTTCTCGATGTAGAGATTCCCTAAAACTAAAATTGGGGGATGGACAAAGCAATTAAGAGATTCTCCATGCAAGGACGTGTAAGAAGAGAAAATAGCATATGGTTAGATGGCCACTAGTGTGTAGTTCAAGAAGAAGGATTGTAGGGTATTCACAATGGGAGGTTTATGATGTGTTTGGTTGCCCGTATCTACCTTAACCAGGTCCGCGCGGGAAGAATTTGGCATGTTTGGTTAGCCGTGTCACATACAAATATTGGCCCACATGAAACTTAAAGCACCCCCAGTCAAGTCTGTTAGGAACCATCGAATCACCAGTTTCCAGCAAGCGGTCGAGCCACCTCGAGCATGTGTTGTTGGTCCCGTTGCACTAGAGAATATATGAGGAATAGGAACTCTGCAGGTGGTTTATTCTCCTACCTCCACTAAACTCCTCCCTAATCTCCTTTTCTTCATCCCTTCTGATCTACACAACGATTCTTCGATTTGAGATAAGGTCTATACGAAAAAGATGCACATCGATGCCATGGTTTCATTCTGGCGATCGGTTCGTAGTTTCGTCAACCGTAGAGGTGAGGTGACCTTCCGAGGCAGCCATGGCGTCCTGTGTGACTGTGAAGACAGAAGAGAAGAGGAAAATTAGAGATGAGTAGAGGAAGAAGAAGTAGGGGGGAGAGAGAGAGAGAGAGAGAGAGGAGAACGGGAGGAAGGGGACAAGATGAGGAACGGCGGCACGTCGCAGGGGCTCGCCGGCCGGCGCGACGCGAGTGTTGAGTCTCATGATTAGATTGAAACATAAGATAGAATAGGAAATATTCTGATTTGTCTTGTACTCCAAATAAATCATGTACTTCTACATATATGCCCACAAGGCTCAAGCAATAAACATCAATTCCATCAATCCATCTCCATCCCTTCTAACAACGAGGAGGAGAGGCTGCTCGGATGCGAGGCAGAGTGCTCGGGAGAGGGGAACCAGATCCTCTAACATTAAGAAGGAAAGTTAGAGAAGCTACAATCCTCTAACTTTCCTTCTTGCAATCCATATGATTAAGGCTAAAATAATTTAAATTAATATGCAAATTGCAGATTTAATGTTTACATTCATAATCATTACATACAAACAATTTGATGGTGAAATAAAATCAATTATAGATTATTTATATCTACAGTAAATATCAATAGTAAATAATCCGCTAAACGTCTCTAATATTCCTTCTTCATTTTACACTATGATTACACTTTTCTTCTTTAAGTTAGAGGGTCCGCCTCCCGGGAGAGGAGCCCAGCTCCCACTCCTTGCACGTGGCCGGCAGGATCCTCCGCCGTGACATCCTCGAGCAGGCCTTCCGGCTCCGTCTCGCCGGCAGTGTTCGTTCCTCAAACCCGCACGTACTCCTTCTGTAAAGAAATATAAAAGCGTTCAGATCAATGGGAGTACAAATCAACCAAGCAAACTGCTTGATTGATCTTTCCTGGAACAGTGTACGTTCGTACTTGCCGGCAGTCTTCGTTCGTTCAAGCCGGTGGCCTCGCGTGACAGCCCGCTCATCCTTCGCCGGCGCGGAGGCGGAGCTCTCCCGAGATGCGCGCGTGCGACACGCTCACTGTCCGCGTCACCATGCTCCCGCTCACCAGCTTGCCCAATGCGTGCCTCCACTTGGTACTTCGTGTCCAGCGTCAGTGCCTCAGTGGCAACGCCGGGCTCTACGAGGACCTCGAGCTGCTCGTCGCTGACAGCAACGCCGGGCTGGCTCGTCAAGAGAGACGAGCACCTCCGCCTGTCCGCGGTGCGCGGGCGGCTGTGTTTGCTCGTCACGGAGAGCCGCGGGATAGCGATATGGACGTTGACGTCGCCGGTGTCAGCGTCGGCGGCAACACCCACCGCAGTCACCGGGGATGGAGGCACGGCCCCACACGACCCAGGAAAGCGGGGATAGTGACGGCAAGGTGGACGTCAGCGCGACGCCAAGTCGGTGCGAAGTCCAATGGCGGCATGGCGAACTAGTTGCTTGCGGCGTCCCTAGTGTTATGTGTAGGTGAACCTTATCAGATGGATGCCACGTTGTGCTCGGTGCCCCCGCTGGTGTCGTTCCTCTCGATCACCTCTTCCTCGGCCTACACTGACGCCGTCATCGCAATCACACTGCCAAAAACTCTACTGTAACTCAGTGTGTCATGTGTAGGCGTTGACCATGTTGCCAGTATGCAACCAAACATCAGGCACTTGCATCTACCAAGCCAATGCACGCAACCAAACGGCAGTTAGAAAATGCTTCCCAGCTTGTATGCAGGCAACCAAAGTAAGTGTAGATGATTGTTTTTTGCCTGCATTAGCTCCATCAGGCTCAAGTGGAACAAATATGCAAAGTGCTAAAAAACGATGCAGGTAACCAAATGCCTCCTTAATGTTATTTTGGTACGCAAATGGTGGTGGAATTGGGGGCAAGAGAAGGGATGTGGCAGCAGATAGTAAGAAGAAAAAAAGATTGATTAAGGGATCTATCAGATACATGGATCTGTGAATGATTCACCATGCTGGGCTGACTTAGTTAAAATCAATCTGTATCTTACAGGGAGAAAGATGAAAGTGGGTAATGGACAACAGACTGGCTTTTGGGGTGACAAATGGTGCAGTGATAAACCTTTGCTAGCTATTTTCCCTGACTTGTTGCAACTATGTAATGAGAAGAAAAAACTGTCAGAGATATGGCTAATACTGGATGAGCAATGACATTTTGGGGATGGCTGAACAATAAACAAAATAGACAGCTAGTGGAGCTGAAAGCTTTTTTAGGGAGCTGAGAGTGCGAGGCTGGCTGGATGTTTCCATCTGGCTATGGAAAAAGGGAAAAAAAATCTAGATCATTTAGGCATCTCTGGAAAGCCAAACTGCCTTTGAACAAAAAAAATTGTATGTTGATTCTGACATGATAATGAAAATATTCATCACCTTTCCACTGTTGCTGCGACATAGATGTGTGGAGTATAGTGAGCAAAACTATTGGTGCTGGGGATAGACCTGGATGCTTTTCCCAATACTTCTCGTGGATTCCCAAATTCCTAACTCCAAGTTGTTGGCCTGGCGGCCCTATGTTGGGCTACAGAGCTTGTTTTGAGTTTAAGCTTGTAAGATATCCCGCTGAATTTATTTACTACGCTGTGTCTTTTATGAACTATTGGGCAGCTTTGTAAAATGAGGGGACTGAAATGTTGGAACAAGGTGCGATGGCACTCCAGAGAACGGCACTGGCACAATATGAGGATGGCAGGAGGGAGCGAGGAAATGGTGCCTTGATGATCATGGGAGATGATGGTTCAAACAATGAAGATGATGCAGAAGCTACGCGCAAGACATGGAGCAAGACTGAGTAACTTGTTTTGCTTCGCCTTAGCTCCCCCCTCTCCCCTGTTAGCAGAGCATGCGGCAGGAGAGTTACGGCTGGGATAACCTTACTTATGTTTACCTGCTTTGCGCCAAGACGCCGTTTTTGTGTTTTGTTCCATTATCTTTTTGATAGTGGAACCCGATCCATTCATGGATTGTATGAGAAAAAAACCCAAGGATTAGAAGACTAGGAATTTAGATGATAAGTGTTTGACATCATAGGAGAAACAAATGAATTCCACCAAAAGGTTTGAGAGGATTTCCTCCAAAATAGAGTGCAAATGAATCTTAAGATAATTTTCACAAAGATTCAAGTTCTCCAAAAAACTTATGGAATTCCTTGGAATCAAGATGACCTTGGGAGTGAGTTATATGCACCCATCAGCCGACTCAGCCAATATAGACTAGAATGTGTCTCCTTAGTGATCAGTATCTCGGTAGAATCAAACCCCTAACAACCGATGAGCCATCATCATGGGATAAGAGCAACGTCTTGTTTTGGTTACTTCGAGGATCAGTACAAGGAGCAACAATGAATGATTTCTAGTTCCCTACCCTGCTAATTCTGGTGGTGGAAGTAGCAATATCAGAGCAACAAGTATGAGATAGGGCATTGTGACAATCATGTATGTACTCCGAGTATGTATCTAAATAGGCATCACAAACAAACACTCTTGTGTATCACAGGACTGAGTTCAAGACAAGTCGGTGATATTGCGATAATAATTGTACCGAGCAGGAGCAGTCACAACAAGGCATGATCTTTCTCCCCCAAAACAGACTAGTGATAAAATTCTTGACAACTTATGATACTAGCAAAACGAAATGTGACCGCATCAGCAGCAGCGGCAGGCAACAAAGACGGACGAAAGAGGAGGGATTTATTTGGCGAGGGGCGGCGGCGAGCCGAGAAGAGCCTGCTGCTGGAGGTCGAGGTCGACCATCTGCTGCTCGCGGTCCATATCGATGATGAGCGGCACGACCAGCACCAGGAAGGTCGTCCCGGCGATCCACGCCGCCTTCCCCGTGCTCCGCAGCAGCTTCCCCGCCACAGCCGCGGCCTCGCGACCGTGCGCCGCCACCGAGGACCGCGAGATCGCAGCCAGGACGCCGCCCGCGTCGCCGCGCTTGCTCACAGCAGAGGACGACGCCATGCTCGCTCCCTTGTTTTGATCTGGACTGGAGGATTCGATTCGGTTCGATTAGGGTTTCCTTTCGGACGACTCCTTTTTATCGGACTGGACGGAGTAGTGGGCCTTTTATGGGCTTAAGGAGGCCCGTGACAAGGGCAGGCCCGAATGGCGACGGGTATTAAAAAAAAAGTCAGCAGGCAGCAATTTCTAAAAAAAAGGAAACGGTTATATACGGACTTTCGGCCGGCCGCGCTCACTTGCGCGCGCAACACAGCGTATCCGCTGACTTTCTTGCCACGCTGGCGCAGTCCTAGGCAAACCGCTCCCTCATGTCTCACGCGCATGTTATAGGTCCCACACGACTGCCCATTTTTACTCCCTAGTTATCTATTGTCTTATGTGTTACCTTTTCTTCTACCTCCAGCCACATTAAGTTCTTTTTCCGCTACAAAGTGTTGCATCCGGCTAAGAAAAACGCTGCAACCGACGAAATAAAAAGCTGGAACCGACGAATAAAAAAGCTGGAAATAAAAGGAGGCGGATTTTTGCGAAGTGAGATTTGCTGGAACCAATAGAGTCAGTCCTAGAACCGTGTAGAAAAGACGATGCAACCGCGGAGGGCGGCGGACAAGAGTACCGACGTGAGCTGGAATCAGAAGTTGTTTTTGCTGCTACTGGCAATCACAAAAGCTACAACCGGCAACCACAAAAGTTACAACCGGTGATTGATTTTGCTTCAACGACGACATGGTGGCGGCACCGGCGATCATTTTTTGCTGGAACCAGCACAATATTTTGCTACTACCAGCTAACATATTTGTTGCCACCAGCAAACCAGTACTTTTTCGCGAGCCCATCGCCGGTGTGCTGCGATCGGTGACCAACGCTACCGGAGCTGCCACCGCCAGCGAGGGAGCTGCAACCACTGGCGAAAGTTGCTGCATGCGTGGATCCGGCGAGAAAGACATGAGACGGAGACGGCGAGGCCGGCGATCGACAGCGAGGCCCGCTGGCGACCGGAGCTGCCACCGCCAGTGAGGGAGCTGCAATCGCGGGCGAAAGTTGCTGCATGCGTGGATCCAACGAGAAAGACATGAGACGACGACGACAAGGCCAGCGGACGACAGCGAAGCCGGCGACGGGCGAGCGCGTGGGGTGGTGCTTCAAGACCGATAGGCAGCTACCGGAGCTGAGGGCGGCGACCGGCGGCAAGGTACGAGTATGGGGCGTGGGGAAGAAGAAGATAGGGGAAAGAAGACTTAATCCAACGACTCAACGTGTCCGAATCGAGCGGCTGGGCAGTGACCGGCCCAAATTTGGGCCGGCGCACCGGCACCTATCGTTGGCCAAATAAAAAGTCAGCAGGCAGCAGTCATTGCGGACGCGTCGCCTCCTCGCCTCCCTTGGCGTTGTCCTCCTTCGGACCTCTCCACCTCAAAAGTGAAACCCCAGCGAGCCTCGCACTCGCATTCTCACCGCTCCAGAACCCTGACCCACTCCCTTCCCTTGGCGCGTGCAGGTGTGTGACAATCAATCCTCTCTAGTAGGCACCAAAGTTTCAATTTCTTTTACTCTTCTTCTGCTCTAGGTGGGTGCATTCCGCTTTCCCTCCCTCTCCCACTATTGCTGGCTGTATGACATTTCTTGGTACAACCTGATGCTATCTTCGCCTCCCTTCCAAGATTGGGGTTTCCAGTGTGGTTCTTATCCACCCGCTACTTTCGGGCATTCCTCTTTTCTCCTAGGGTTTCATAAACGAATTTATTTATTTTTGTCTTATGAGGAGGTTTTGATTAATTGATAATGCACATCTTCTCTGCAACACAAATAGTAGTGGGGCATTTCATTAAAAGAAGGCCATGGTTTCCCACAAGGATAAGGCTCAAAAGGCGTATGAGGCCATGGGGCGTCTCGGCTTCTCCAAGAAGCAGGTTTTGCTAGTCCCGAGGCACCTCTACAACCTCTTTGACAAAAACTAGGAGCCCATCAAGGACGAGAGCTACCGCATCCTTGCTGACACCATCCTGGATAGCCAAAAGAATCAACCAATTCCTGCCACTAGCCATCATGTACAAATAATACGCTACTTTCTGTTTCTTTACTGTATAATTACCATCTGATGCTCAGCCTTTCCAATTGTGGTTTCACATCGGGTGACAGACCAAGCGTCCGAGCCTCACAACTCAACGCCGGTCACACCAGATCAAGATGACCAACACCCTTCTGCCGCTCGGTATGACATGGATGTCAGTGATAATGAAACCTCCCTCATCAACAGACCCATGGATGTCAGTGAAAATCCCTAAGATGCTCTCTTCTTACAAGAGCCCAAACCTGAACCTGAAATTGATATTCCAGCTACCCCTGTTGCCAACGACCTCAATACTGGGTCTTCAGGTATACCACTTGCATTATCTCACCATCACTCAGTACTTTCAAGACCAGGCTAGAGTTGTTCATGCTTTGCGTTAGTTTTAGTTGAAATTATAGTTCATACTGATGTTTGTATGCTCTGGAAATCAAACTCAACATTTTTCCTATGATATTACCAAATTGTTTAAGTCCTTACGACGGTTTTTGGTGCGCATGTATGTGGTTTATTTTAGCATTGCTTGGTTGCTTTCTTTCCTTTTTTGGATGGTTGTGCAATTGTAGCAGTTGCTTTGACCATTGTCAATTTGTCACAAGTTTCTGTTGACAACATTCTTGTTCTAATTGGATCTACTGTATTTGCAAAATAAAAAATAAATAGGTGGGGACAACATGCTAATTGAACATTGTAAAACAAGGGATATGCTGACTTGGGGTTCTGATGCTAGAGCTAGCATAGTTAACCATGATCAAAATCCAGACATCAGCCAACATGCAGTCAAGGATGGGGTAGAGTCTACTATTCAAAAGCTCACCAGGCATCTTTTGTTGAACTTGATGTAGCTTCATCCACTCTGGGTGAGGTGAAGGTGTCATTGAAATGCAAATTTGACCCTTCAGAGGCCTGCATTAGTTTGGACAAGGTCTTCAAAATAGTTGAGGATAAATGTCTTCGCTCATACAAGACCCTACCTCCTGATTTTTCTGTTGGCAAGCTGATGAATAAGATATGCCAATATGTTGCAGAGTCACGTGCTGTGCATTCTGAAGCTCAAAACAATGGTGGCAGCTTGCAAGAATAGGCTTTGGAGACATATGCTCCATTTGTGAAACCAATTGCTTGTAAGCATGCTGTTGATGGGAATGGTAATGCTGCTGTAGGATCATCCTTGGAACCTAGCTTTCAAAATTGGGTAGTTGCTTATCAGCCTCAGGAAGCACTTTTTAAGCAAAGGTTGCTGCATGATGTTGCTGACATAACGAAGGGAGAAGAAAGAGTTAGAATACCTATTGTAAACGAATTTGGTAGTGATAGTTGTCTGCAATTGTTCTATTACATAAGAAAGAATCTCACTTTCCAAAGTGCTTATGTCAACACCTCACTTGCGCGGATTGGTGATGAGGATTGCTGCGCAGATTATTCAGGCAACTGCTTATTAGAATCACATCCATGTGCATGTGCAAGATCAACTGGAGGCGGGATTGCATACACACCAGAGGGCCTGGTCAGGGCAGAATTAATTGATGAGTGCATAGTTGTTAATCACTTCCAAGAAAAGGATAATAAGTTCTACTATAAAGCTTGCCCTCTTGAAATATATATGATGAAGCCCTCATCGGATCCATGTAAAGGCCATCTTGCTAGAAATTCATTAAGGAATGTTGGAGTAAATGTGGCTGTGGCATGCAGTGTGGAAATTGTGTGATTCAATGTGGGATAACATGCAATTTTCAGGTACTATCTTAAAACATTTGTAGGTTATCACAACTGTTATACTTTTGTGGCTTCCCATTTTTGGATGATGATCACTCATCAGTAGTTTCTTTATGGACCATTCTGTTCTTTGATGAATGGCCATTGACATCATTCATTTGTTTTGCTATATTAACATGTTTCTTGCTCCATTCTTGTAAGCACTAGCAAATCAAAACTTCACTTTGTTCCCTTTACTTTGGTGTTAAACTTGTAGCATGGAGATGAGCTACCATTATTCCGTGTTTCAGGTGTTTTCACGAATGAAGGGAAGGGTTGGGGGCTATGTACGCTGGATGGGCTACCAAAAGGTGCTTTCATTCGTGAATTAGTTGGGGAGGTACTAACAAGTTTTGAACTACATGAGAGAAAAGCCAAAAATTCTAAGCATGTGGATCAAGTGCTCCTAGATGCTAGTTGGGGTTCTGAAGGGCTGCTAAGAGATGAGGAAGCTCTATGCCTTGATCTAGCATATTATGGGAATGTCGGGCGTTTGTCAACCATAGGTATGCTAGGACTCTTTTCCCATCTGTTCATTTATAAGGGCCTCATCAGCCTTGTCTATTAATGTTATATTTGTACTTTTTGCTGATTTTGTGTTTGATAATAATGCTTTACCATGTAGATGCTATGATGCAAATTTGGTAATCATACCTGTTGAAGTCGAGACTCCTGATCGCCATTATTACCATGTAACTGATTTTTGGCAATTGATATTGATTTCTGCACCGAAGGTGCTTGATTTGCAGCTACATGCTTACGAGCAATTGATGTTCCCCCCCTCTTAACGCAGCTTGCATTATTCACTGCCAAGAAAATAGAGGCTTTTGAGGAGTTAACGCGGGTAAGTGTCTGTATCATTTTCTCAACACTAGTATACATGACAACCACCTGCAAGTACTTGATAATACCCTCAATTAATACCTGCACAATATGAGGCTCGCATGCATACAATAATAATTGGGGCCTGCTTCAGTGCACCTGCCTTCCAAGAATTAGAATGGGTATTTTTGCCTTTTACTGTTAATTAAGTGCTAATAGACCTAATCGTGCTTCACTTGATCTCATCCTTTGTAGAATCGAAAGTAGGTCTAGAGGGGAATGTATTGGTCTCAACACATGAGTAGGTGGTTCTCTCTCAGGAAATGAATGCTGGAAGTGTAGAAACGTTTTGATG